GGCTGCGGCCCCGCGGGTGCCGCCCGCCTCCATGTCGCCCCGGCCAACGTCCCGGGCGGCGCAGTTACCGCTTGTTCCAGAGTCAGGCCCTTCCCCACGCTCGGACACGTGCAGCCGCTCATTTAAAAAAAAATAAATTTATATATAAAGCCATCTGCAAGTCCCTGGTATTCCCCAAGAAACAGGAGGGCCCCCGGGCGCTGCCAGCACGGCTGGCGCAGAGAACGCGTTTCTCTGCCTTTGGAGACCCAAGGACGAGACGTCAGTTGCATTTGGGCAAGAAACATTTGGTCAACGACAGCACTGCCTGCCACCAGCCACAGGCACCAGATACGATTTTCCTTGGTTTTTTTCCCCCCCTTACCGAGTAGGATGCCCGTGCTTTACGGATGCGTGGTTATCACTGAAGACATTTCAGAGCCAAAAGGCCTTCCTGACAGCGCACAGCACCGGCACGCAAACAGTCATCCCTAAAACCCTTGGCTGTGATTGCGAACAGAGAACACCTTACCGCTGTTTGAAGTATTTTTACCTTTCAGCCTCATCTTCTGCTTCATCCCAGCCCCTTTCCTGGTCTCTTTTAAGAAGACCCTTTTAAAATTACTCTGCTTCTCATAGGTCTCCCACCTCCACAGAGCACTTTGAGATCTTTAGATGAAAGGTGCAATCTATTTTAAGTGCAAAATACTACGTATGAATTCAAGCTCCGTACAGGACATCACCGGTCCAATAAACTCGTCGTGTTTGGTCTCCCCACCGGTACCACTTCACAGCCACGGGAGTCAAACAGGAACGACAGAGAAGATTCCAAACCTGGAACAAAGTCCAACCACTTTAATACATTTCAAATATATTCCACCAACTAATATATAAAAAGCAACATTAGAAGAGTTTTGCTTTTTATACATGCTCATATTATGTGCTCAAAACTGGGAAATCTTTTTAGCAGGGCCAGCTGTGACAGGACAAGGGGGAATGGTTTTAAACTGAAGCAGGGGAGGTTTAGACTGGACATAAGAAATTCTTTACAGTGAGGGTGGTGAAACCCTGGCAGGGGTTGCCCAGAGAGGGGGTGGAGGCCCCATCCCTGGGAACATTCCAGGCCAGGTTGGACGGGGCTGTGAGCAACCTGGTCTGGTTAAAGGTGTCCCTGCTCCCTGCAGGCTGGGTGACCTCTGGGGGTCCCTTCCAACCCAAACCATTCTATGATTTTATGAAATACCAGAATTAAGGCTGCCAGTCCTACTGCCAGCCATGTTACCAATCTAGAATAATCAAACCAAACATTTTTACCCTTGCAGACTCTTATCCTAAACGTCTACCACCACAACGCCCTCTCCATCCCTTTTTTTACCAGTGTTCTTCCCACCCCGGCTGGCTGACAAACTCTGCTCAACTTCCCCAAGTGCTCCTACAAAGCTGCCCAACGCAGAACAAACGTTAACATGAAAAATGCTATTTTAAGGAGTCACCATGTTGGGGATTTTCAATATTTTTTTTAAACACACCACCATTTCATAGAGTGATACTGCTGTAGTTGCAAAGGTCTAATCATACCAGGGACGTACACGTCTCATCCGCAGAAGCACCAAGCCTCAAAACCCAGGACCAAGACGGGCGCACATCACCAGAACACCTCCTCTTCCCGCAGCTCCCAGTGTTGCCGCCTGCCCAACCTCCCACCGCTGTGATGGAAGGGACAGGGACACCAAGGGGACACTTTTTGGGACCTACAGTCCCAGTTCCCCACTCTCGTTACCAGCTGCCAAGGGGACAGCCTCAGCGTAGGGGCAGAGCACTGCACCGCAACGCCCAGGCACGTGGAGACTTGAAGTCTAAGCTTTAAAGGCAATTTTAATTCTGGCGTTTCTCAGCTTTCGAGCACTTTGCTCCCTAGGCTTATGCCAAGGCCACCTGCGGCATCCCACACTACTCATTGCGAGTTTTGGGACTGGGGGCAAAAGACCTGTTCAGTTTTAGTAAGACATGTAGCTCCGCATCAGAGAGGCGAGCGCTGCGGCTACGCTGAGCCCCCCCACGTCAGGGAGGGCGGGCAGAAGCCCGCAGTTCCAGCGCCCGTACAGCAGTACAGCCGTCCTCTGTAAGAACAGTTCGTCCCATGTGTGGTACACACCCGCAGCACCCTGCCAGAGAAACTGGCTCAGGAGGTTAACCATGCTCAACAGGAGCAACGCTGCTGCTGACGGGTATAACCCGCCCTCAACCTGCCCCTAAATGCCTGGTTTCATACAGGAGGATCAAGAAAAAAACAGGACACTGCTACACGGATCTTTTTCTTTGCGATACTAATCTCTACAGTGAAACATTCATAAATGCTCAACAGTAAAAATACGCTACATCAAAACTGTACCAGAAAAAGCAGGACCCCCGTAACAGCTGGAGAAGAGTCTGCAGATAAAAATCAGAATTAAAAATGTGCCACTGAGAACGTATGAGAAAATAAATACGGTTATCCTATCTTTACAGTTCGGCAGACGTTGGAACCGGTGCAATTCACAGACTCTCATCTTCTTGTTCGATGCTGCTGTGGGCATCTCAGCGCGTTGTCTCACCAAGGAACAGCTTGGGCACGGCCCCCCAGTCAGACAAGCACGGGGTTACGTCCTCTGACGGCAGGGAGAGCCCAGGGTGCGCTCAGGTGCTCACCTGGAGCGGGTACTTGACTCTTCTGAATTAAGCATCACGTATTACAGGAGGAAACACGCCGCCTTCCATCTAAATTCTCATTACAAAGCACTGTGGAAGCAAGGACATCCGCTTGGTATCAGTATGAGAAGGCTAGCGCACTTAATACCGAGAACTACGCTGCTCGTTTGATCGAGTGAACTGCGGGTCCGTGTAAGATACAGAAAGCCAAGACATTTGTCTGCTCTCCTGGGAAGTATATACTGCTTGGATGGCAGACAAACTACCAACGAAGACGGGTTCCAAACTAACAGCGTTTCCCAGGGAATTAATTTACAAAGTGCCACTGGTCCTCGGAACCAAATATACTGTACAGTATATTACAGCAAACACGAGCTCCACAGCTTGTGCTGGCCCATCTCTGCACCATATGCAGAAGGAATCCAATGTTCAGACTCTTTACAATATACTCCTTCCCTTTTTATACAAAGGAAAATAAAAACATAAGTTAAACCAGCAATAAATAAAACTACAGAACGCGTGTGTCCTGGTCAGCCCCCTTTGTGCATTCCAATCAGACTGGAGAGCTTCTCACAGTGCTCGAGTTTCAGTGATTCTGCTTTCTGTTTTAACCGCTCATCTCTGTATAGCTTGGCCAAATTTGACAAATCAGACTCTGAAAAATGAAAAAAAAAAAAAAAAGTTTTAGGATGAAGTCGCAAACCTACTTTACATAACTGTTTGTCAGTGCTTTGTTATTCTTGTGGCATTTTTTTTTTTAATTCACCTTGTTTCAGTGAAACTGGGCACATCAGGTTTAACCAGGCTAGCTACTTCAGAAAAGAGTATTTTCATAATGGCTTGAAAACTCAAACTGTTGTAATAACCACTGCACTAGTAGGCCAACAAGCAAAACAAAAAGACTGATTATTACCGTCTACAAAGAAAACAGAAACTATAAAAATATAGAAGCCACCTCAGATTTAAAATTACGTTGATGATCTAAAGAATAGGTGATTGCTTTAAAATATACACGTATATATTTAACCAACATAAAAAGGGGCCAGGAGGACACCACTTGATCTGCTGCAGCACCCATCTGAGGCCATACCGCTATTTACATTCGAACTCGTCCCCTCTCAGGGTGCGTCGATCCTTGCTGACGCACGGCCAGGCGGAGGGGGGGTTCCCCCTCACCTACCAGCGGTATTTAAGCGACAAGCCAGAAGGAAAGAGAGCCCCGTGACTACTTTTCTTATCGCTTGCCTTGGGGCTGGTGTCAGCTGCCTGCAGCCTCGTAAGCTAAGCAGGAACGAGACACACACACCCCTGTCCACCTCACACAGAAACGCAATTCCTCCGGCAGAGCCATTCTGCAAGGGCCCGGAGCACCCATCCAACTATATACGTTAAGGTATAGATAACTGGGTCCTTTTTTGACATTGCACTTGTCAGAATTCAAACTCTGTCTGGCAAGAGGTTTGCCCAGCAGGCATTACAAATTCCTTTCTTTTTGGGGTGTGTGTGTAATGATTACAGGAAGGTGAACAGCTAGCGGAGGGACCTGTCTGAAAGGCCTCTGTGCCTGTTCATTAACAACACAATCTCAAACGTACTTGGCTCATTTTTTCCCCTTCTTCTCAAAACTGAAATAATCCCATTGTTTAAATTATTTCCCCCCTAGTAATTCAGAGAAGTTTCTTTTTGCTGACTAGCTGAGGAAGTCTTAACGTAGCTCTCTCCCAGAAGAATAATTTAGACCCAGGATTAGATGCACCTAAGAGAGCAGCAGTCATTTGTTTCCGAACAGGTAAAGATTTCCCTCAGCACAGGCTACCTGATGACGCTCAATTTTTCAAAGAGCTTTCATATATCTTACAAGTCCCTCGTTTTACAAAATCATTCAGAGCAGAAAGAACTTCAGGTCCTTTCATGCCTTACATCCTCTGTCCCTGTCCCACTGAAATTTAAAGCCACTTAACCCTCCACCTATTTACTGAAAAGCTTTACAAACTGACAGGCATAAACATTTTATTTTCAATCAGAAATCAATTTTCAGGTTTTGTAAGTGAAATGCCACTCCAGTAGTGCTGGGCAGGTAGCCTTGGCAAGCCTGCAGCACAACTGGACTCGGGTAATTGTCTCCAAATCCAGAATCCCTGGAGTTCTGCAGTGAAGAATCTTAGCTTACACTTACCCAACTGGGCAAAAATATTCACTGCAAATGCTTGCACTTTTGACAGCATTCGTTCTGGCACGTTGGTTCCTTATGATTTTCAATCTTTTAGAGAGAGTTGTTCCTTTGTACTTTTTCTGTGTAAGGAACTCCTCAAATACCTAACTCCAACACATATCCTCCTTCTCTCTGTTTTCAGTTGCCTCTCTGTAATTTTCTCTGACTTGGAGCTCTCTGCAGTCTTGCTTCACACTTGTGCTATCACAGCTCAACGATCTGCTGTAAAAACCTGGGAAGTGCCTTTTGCATCTGTAGCGAAGATTTCAGAAGACCAAAAACCACAGCATACACAACTCTTACATGCTGTTCTGCTGCGAAGGGAGGAACGCTGCTGTATAAACATGACTGGCTGAGCAAGATCCCCACCTATCAAGGCACTTTTGAAGTTTTCATTAAGGTAGTTGCTAACACTTTCCAAGTCATAAAATCAAGGGCTTTAAAACCCAAACTGTTCCTATATAACGACGTCCATTTTGCTGGTACCAAAGAGAAATGCACCCTCAATAAACAAACCAAATATACTATTAATAGACATTCAACTGACCAAAAAAAAAAAAAAAAGTTGACCACATGAAGTTAAACACTTAAACAACAATTAATGGACTAAAGTTATGAAGCAACAGCTGCCTAGGGACTGTCTCAACATCTCCAGAGAACTTTCCCCCAGCACTCCATCTTGTATTCACAGTTTATTTTTACAAACTTGGCTGTACTAAAGTTAGCACAGTCTCAGCTGTGCTCATTACCTGCTCGCCAGCCTAGCTGGTAATCATTCTGAAAACGTTTTTTTTTAATTACAGTGGTCTCCTCAGGCTACTGCTAATTGTGGACCTTGTAAATATATTTGCAGATGTGTGACTAATAAAGTCTCTAAGTGTAAAAAGCTCCAGAGGAGCACTGTTTTGCAGGCAGTACTTGGCGTTCAGTGCTGGATCGTCCCCCCCTCTCTGAGAGTCGCAAACCCTGTTGCCCATTTTGGGGCACGGCACTCCGTAGCTCAAGGTCTACGTGAAGCAGACAATATGGCAACTTTCAGTTGCACAAGGTCGATTAGAAGGATTTTTCAGCAAGAAATAATTCTATCCCTATAGCAACCCTACACACAAAGCCTACATTTATGGTTATTAACAGCCACGTTGTACCTAGATGCTGCTACTGGCCAGCCACAGATGCTCAGAGATCACAAATCAAGCACACCAAAAGCTAAGGGATTGTTTGGGATTTTTATGGTATGATATTATGGGTTCTTTTTGTTTTTAATTTCAGAGCCTACACCTCTATATTTCTCTTTAAAAGCAAGATTAGCAACTTTCATGTAAAATAGAACAAAACAGTCTCTGGATGAAAACAAACCAACCCTTCCTATCAAAAACCCGCAAAGAGGTTGGAGTCGGCAATGCTATTGTCACCTCTAGCGCAGGATTAAACAAGTCTTGTTTAGACAACGTGCATGCTACCATAATGATGCAGCTGGTAAAGAAACTGTAAACAAGCACAAAGTCACTTCTTAGTAGTGTGCTGAGGACTGCTTGACACGGAGCAATTTAGAAAACTCCACTATAGTGTGTGAAAGCAGCTTGCCTGCTGCCATTAAATGTTTACACAGAAACAACTTCCAGTTTCCGCTATGCACAGCAGTAGTTGGTGTTTACTCATTTTAAGGTGATGAGTTCTTCAGCTGAAAAAAAATCAGTCACCACATCCCAACTTCAGCTAGTCCTCGTCATTTGAGTTCTCTTATTTTGCACAGTTACAAAAGCAGCAGGGATTTGCTCTGTTTTAAATGAACTACAAGAGTAGTAATTCACAAATAATACAATATGGGGTCAAAATACAGGCCTTTATACGTGCGACTGATTGATTTAGGACTGACATCAGAATAATGAGTTTGAGTGGTCCCATTGTTGTGTTCTCCCCTTCTGCATTCAATTCTTGTTTTTAAAAGGCAATCTTGACTATGGTGAAAAACATGATCGCAAACTCATCTAAAGATAGAAAATGCAAATAAGCGCACAAAACAAGTACAGCAGCACGTTCTTTGAAAACTGATACCAGTAACAGTCTACTGCAAGATTACCAAAAGCACCTGGATGGGCTATGGGCTCTCCTCCTGATAAAGCTTTTCTTCAAAAGTTAGATAATCTTCTTGTGGACCCACTGAAAGCAAAAATGATTCCGCTCCAGCAAAGTAAACATGAAATGGGTGATGTCTCACGATCTTTCCCAGCCCTAGCAATCTGTCACACCTAGCTAAATGTGGCGGATTACGCGTTTAAAATATCATCACCAGGAGTTATTCAAGCATGAAAACTGAGTGGAAAAAAAAGGTCTCAAATGGTGAAATCTACTTTCCACTTGTCTCTCAGAATCACCTAAAATGAATTTTGACAGAGCTTCAAAACCAGCAAATTCAGTGTTGAGAGCAGATGTGAGAAATACCAGTGCAAGGTTTGAGATGTTAAATGCATCGGAAAATGAGGCTAAAAATGGCAGTGCTTCGTGAAGCGTAGCCATCATACAATTACCGATGGGTTGTAGGCACACACTTGTAACAAAAATAACTTACTTTGCTGTTTCTCCTTCCAGCAGCTGGTCTGAATATAGTCTATGTAATCTTTTTCAACGGTTTTCTCTAGCTCTTGAAGTTCTGCTCCTTGATAATTCCTTTCAAAGTTTTTATCAACGTAGTAAGGCACCTGCAAGTTCTCTGTTTCTCTACTAATAACATGGCCTATGGACCTGTGAAAACATCATGGAGAAAACAGATTATTTTTTTTAGCAGTTAAAATATAAAGAAATCAAGAGATGTTTCTCTGTATTAGCATTTCCAGAGGACAGTATTTACAATGTATTTACAGTTCCTTTCTGCAGGACTATAGCTCCCTCAGCCATCCAATAAGGAAATTACAAGTCTCGGGCACAGCAAGCTGTGCACTACAAACAGAATTCATCCCCCCTACTAAAAAACACAGGAAAATATGGAATATTTGGAGATAGCTACAAAGAGGTGACTCCGAGCTGACACTGTTCCTTCCAAATACCGTGCTTGTTCTCAACAGCTCAGTCAAGACACTTCCAAAACGTAAGAGCAAATTTTTTTTGTGAACGGAAGCTCCACACACTTCTGTTTGCTGGTAATTTCTGGCAAGCTAGGTCCAGAAATCCATGGGAACTGATAACAAAGGTAGAGATCAGAGCAAAGCATTAGCCACTCTGACACAGCCACTGGATCAAACTACACTTTTATACTGATTTCCTTATTTGAGCAAAGATGCCCAGGCGTTTTTCCAAATCGCTGCCCAGAGAAAGAGGCAGGCAGCCAAAATGCAAAGGTTACACTCTACTCAATGGAATCCAGCTTGCCCCTTCTATTTCCTGGACTCCTCTTTTCCTTCTCTCTCGCTTTGCCTCAGAGGTGTATGCTCTCTTTACATAAACAATTTTAGGTTTTAGACTGGTAGGTTTTTTTAATAAGGATATGATTTAGAGAGACAGCGTAACTGCGTACCAGGCTCAGGCCTGAATATCTCAAATCAACAGGAGAAGGGGAGGTAGTGAAGAAAAGCAGGCGAGATTAGCTGCTCTGGGGACAGTGTGGGAGGTTTCACATGGGACTGGCAGATAGCAAAAATGCTGTCTGGAAAAAAAAAAAAAAAACCACCCACCCAAAACCCAACCACCCTCCCGTTCTTATGCTAGGCCTACACACTGACATCTTGTGGTAAAAAACAATAAAGGGTGTTGGGCTACTATAACAGTGGAGAGGATATGGCCCTAAACCTAAGCAGTTATGCTCCTGGAAGGGAGCAAGGGGAGTGTTGGGAGTACCCTGCTATTGTTGCGTGCAGCAGGTTCTCCAAAACCTGCTGGCTCCCACTCCTGCCTGGGTAAGAGCCAGCGAAGGTGACTGAACTGAGCTCTTCCCCACTAGAGAGCTTCCCTCCTCCCGGCACCACATGCTGAAAGGAGCAAGCGTTTTTTCCAAGACTACAGAAGGCCTGGTGGTCCTTCTGCTTCCAGAGCTGACCCTCTGCAACCCTGGGGTCCTGCTTTGTTACAGATTAAACCAGGGCATTTCAAGGCTTTAATGATTTGTGGAGCTTGACAATTCTTCCAGTGGAATTCAGGCTCCAGAGCAGATCTGGATTTATACTGCAAACAACAGGCTTCATTTTTTTTTTTCCAATTGCCTTTTGTAGAAACCTCAGCGGTGGTCCACAGATCCCTGGGGGCCAGGCAGACCAGAAGCTGATCAGCACTGTAGCTGAGC